TTTGGTGAAATATTCAGAGACAGAATCAGAACCTTGAACCAGAGTCACTATTTCCTTGTGCAGCTGAAATAGCTTTGGTGCATTGCTTTGACCAAAGCGATCATCAAGATCCTCCCATATTTCCTTGGCAGATTCACAGTATAACACACTATTCGCAATTCCAGATTCAACAGAGTGTAGAATCCAGGATATTACCAGATTGTTGCAACGATTCCATTGTGCGAAGTTAGGAGAAGAGACATCCGGTGATTTCGAGCTTCCATCAACAAAACCTAACTTGTTTCTGGCTCTCAACGCAATTTCAGCAGATCTTTTCCATTGCGGAAAGTTTTCGCCGTTCAATTTCTGTGATGCCAGCGAAAAATTTGGTGAATCAGTGGGATGCAGATACAATTCACTTTGTATGTCGATTGGGATATGCGAGGAAGAATTCTCTGTCGCCATGAATATCTCGAACAATTGCAGAAGAACAGAATATGATTTCAAGCCGTTAGAAGAATCGGAAATCTAGACGCCATTGAAGATAGGCTCTGATACCATGTTAAATTTCATTGGAGAAGATGAAATTGTAAAACAAACGCAGGAAAATTCCATTAAACTGAAGCTCAAATGTGTCTCTGAAAATTTGCCCTAACGGGGAGGAAGAAACTAGCTATATAAACTACCATAACTAATCAAACAGAAAGTCCAAAAAACAAGGGAAATTAGTTAGAAATGACAGGTGGCACTAAGTGGTTAGAAGTGTAAGCTGACTGCGCAGCTTGATCCTTCACATAGGCTCAAGAGGCTGGTATGTGATTGGATCACAACTGGTCTCTGTATAGCTGATTTTAACATATTCTTTCCTGATGAGTTCTCGCCTTTCAGATTACGCAAGGAAAAAAGACAATAGCTATATGTTTTTTCACAGGCTTATCCAAAATAGTAAAAAAATTGTCTTAAGTGCTTCTAGGAATAGATATGCATTTACAAGCTCATTTAACTTGTGCCTTTGACAAGCCTCACTCTCAATAAAGATTTTATACTTAAAGGGATCTTTCCAAAGCACGCTTTGACCTGATTTTATGCCATTGCAGTTTGTTCACTGCATCGTATGGGCAAAAGAGATGCTTTTTGCAAAGCTTTTCGGGGACATCAATCAAGAAAACGATCTGAATGTGCACTCTATTGATGATTCTAGTTCTTCGGCGAACACACATAGTGTTTTTGAATGTAGGCCAAATGAAGACATTGAGCACTACGGGAGGAGAATATATGACCATGTTTTTGGCTACAACATTGAGGTGGCATTATCCAATGAGGACATGTGGAAGAACCGTAACAAACCAAGGCCTACATACATTAGAGACATATTGCCATTTGAAGAGATTCAACAGGGTAAAAATGGAGATAAAGTTTCAAAAGATGATCAACCCTCATCAGTGTCTGCAATGGCATCTCTAGGTCTTAAGAATCCTCAGGAAGTGTGGAGCTTGAAGGAAAACACAAAATTATTTTTGGAGTCTCTAAAGCTCTTTCTTTTGAAAAGGCCAAAGGTTTTTCTATGCCTGACTTGTCCTTTAATTTAAAACCCCTCAATTAGGCTTTGTGTTTACCTAACATTAATTCATGGTTACAATCTTTTCTTCATTGACCTCATCAGGATATTGGGAACTTGATTTTCGACAAAGATGATCAGTTAGCATTGGAATTTGTAAGCACAGCTGCTAATATTCGGGCATCTTCATTTGGTATTCCATTGCATAGCCTTTTTGAAGCAAAAGGAATTGCAGGAAATATTGTGCATGCTGTTGCTACAACAAATGCTATAATTGCTGGTTTGGTGGTGATTGAGGCAACTAAGGTGTTGCAAAATGAAATGAAAAGCTGCAGGTTTGCACGAATTCATATACACTTCTACAGTGACAATTGCTGATATCTGTCTACTAATAAATGCTTTATTTTGTATCATTAGGATGACCTATTGTCTCGAGCATCCTTCCAGAAAGCTTCTCCTTATGCCATTTGAGCCATCTGAGCCAAGCAAATCCTGCTATGTCTGTTCTGGGGTATAAACATCAAATTCTAACCTTTGGGGGAAAAATTGCATTTCATCTGATCTAACCCCATCAATATGTTTTGGCTTGGTAGGCTCGTATGACGCTTGAGGTCAATACTAAGGGATCAAGATTAAAGGATTTTCTTGATAAGATTGTAAAAGCAAAGCTTGGCATGCATTTTCCACTGATTATGCATGGGGCAGCACTTCTCTATGAGGAGGGTGATGATCTTGAGGATGACATGGTAGCAAATTACATTGAAAACCTTGACAAGGTAGATCACTTGTATTTTGTTCTCTCTCTTCTGCTGCTTGCTATTAATCAATCTTCTAGAGAGGGTAATTAATAATTTAATTTTCAAATTTGTTTGCATTGTCCTTAGGTACTATGTGAGCTTCCATCTCCCATAACCGGGGGAACCATTATCACCGTTGAGGATTTTTTGCAGGAGCTCACTTGTATGATCAATATTAAGCAGAGGTTTGTTTCTTGCCAAATTTTTGTACCACTGGTAAAATATTGTTCAGTGGAACATCAAATTTTCTTAAATAACAGCTATATATATGATCTGAATAAAAGTGCTTCAAATGTCCCATTATTTCAGGGAAGAATTTGACGGCGAGGAAGAACCTGATGGAATGGTTCTCTATGGATGGACTCCAGAAAGTGCAAACAAGGAAGTGCGTGGCAATGATGCAAGCCCATCTAAAGTTTCTCAAACCGCTACTCAAGATATGGATGAAGATGATAGCTTGGCACATAGATGATAACTTGGCACTTCCCCCATTGGACATTTTTGAGCTCCCTTCCAGAAGTGAATGAAAGTTGTCCGACAGTACTTTCCCTGCTGGTTCAGATTCATCGTGTACCGCGAATGAGAAAAATGCTAAGAGAAAGATGGTCGGACATGATAACTTCAAATTGTTAGATGATGAATATACTAACTGTTTCCAAGAAGCTTAGAGAGCAATAGCTTTTTTTGTAGCTTAGTTCTCTACCTTATTATTAGTGATTTTCTTTTTTTTTTTTTTACATTTTTTTAAACCTCTCTTTTTTATTCTTTAGGTGCTGGCTTCAAATTTTGACATATGATTCGATGCATCCAGCAATCGAACATTTGCTTATGAAGGTATTAACCGCACTTATGCAACCTTGAAAGTGTTAGGTTTATAGTTTCCTACTGAACTAAAGCATGTTTCGATGCGTAAAATTGTGATCAAATCTGGAGTTTTTCTTGTGTATTTTTTCCCTTGTCCATCCAATATTAAGTGATTAAGGGTAATAAAATGTGAACATCAAACTTGCAGTGAAAGAAAACGAGAAGCTGAAGTATTAGTAATTAATTCAATTATGGCTTTGCAATGATGTGAATCGAACAAATATAGAATATTATTGGCAACCATTCAATTGGTTTTGCACCATCAGGACTAACAGTAAATCATTTACAGCAGAACTAGCAAGAAATATATATATTTTTTCCTTTTCATGATCAACAACACTTGGGATTTTACCTCCCATTGAGGGAAGTGAATTGAGCAAACATAGCAGTTCCAGAGTGTTCATCAACCTCTTGAGCTCCAGGTGAAGAAGGAACTGTCGGAGCATTAACAGCCGGAGGCGGTGGGGTGGCTGATGCCGGTGGTGCCGTGGTGGCATTGGCATTGTCATCCTCTGCGGCGGCAACCGTTCCCTGTGAAGAATTCTCCTGCAACTGCAAAGCATACTCCAGGTTCCACAACACATCCCCCATGGAAGGCCTATCATCCCCATACTCTGACAGGCACTTCTCCGCGGCTTCTGCAAACTTCTTCATGGATTCCGGGTCAATGTTCCCCACCAGCGTCGGGTCGATGATCTTGTCCAGCAACCCCTTCCTCTTCTTCTGCATGGCCCACTCTGCCAAGTTCACCTGCTCCCTCGGCAGCTGCGGGTTGATAGCCGGCCTCGCACACAGAACCTCCAGCAGCACTACCCCGAACGAGTACACATCCGACTTATCGGTAAGTTGTTGCTTCCTGAAGTACTCCGGGTCCAGGTACCCGAAACTGCCCTTCACGGCGGTGCTGACGTGGGTCTGCCCGGTCGCGGGTCCGTCTTTCGACAGCCCAAAATCGGCCATCTTTGCCACAAAGTTCTCGTCCAGCAATATGTTTGTGCTCTTCACGTCGCGGTGGATGATCCCCTGGGCAGCACCGGTGTGGAGGTAATGCAGTCCCCGGGCTGAGCCGATGCATATCTCCAGCCTCTGTTTCCATGGCAGGGTAGGCATGCCCTTTCCGTAGAGATGGTCTCTTAAAGGCCCGTTTGCCATGTATTCATAAACCAGGATCATCTCCTCGTTCTCATCGCAGTAGCCGATCAGGGAGACAAGGTGACGGTGCCTGAGCTTAGACAGGATTTGGATTTCCGTCTGGAATTCGTTGATCCCTTGTTCGGACTGTGGGTTTCCTCTCTTGATGGCCACCTTAGTCCCATCGTCTATGGTTCCAAGATAGACATTTCCAAACCCACCTACGCCGACAATCTCCTTCGGGTCCCAGTTCTTGGTCGCCTCCTGTAACTCCGCAAAGGAGAAGAACCGTCCCAATCCGGTGGTCGACGAATAGAACTGGTGGCTCTTGCTCTTGCTGCTCATGAAGGTTGAATCTCCGGCGTGGATGGGGAGCAACCAAGATGAGAAACTCTGTCTCCTCTGCCAATTTTGGGGCCTCTTTTGCCACTTTGCCGCCATTGCCCCCAACCCAACAAATGCCCCGAACATCATTGCGAACCCAACGGCCGCAGCCGTCTTTCCACCCGCGGAGTGACCATCTGCTGCCTTCCCGTCGACCCCGAATTCCCCGTCCAAGCTCCCGACGGAGTTGTTCATCTTGTACACCTCCAGCCCGTTGAGTAAGGCGTTCATCATTCCTTGTGCGTCGTTCACGGGGCTGATTTTCACTTTCAGGGGATTTGTGACCATTGATGAGTTGACCACCAGATCCTTGTAGAAAGCGGTTGCTAATTTCCCGTTGAGCGTCGACAAGTCGAGGCCAGAAATTGCCATTTTGTCGTTGATGTAGACGTTAAAGTAGAGTTCGTTCAGCGTCTTGCTCACAATGTCACAGAAATGGAGGCGGACTAGGTAGGTGTAGTCGTTGTCGATTTCCAACTGCCAGGTCACGTTGAAGATGGATTGCATCACTTCGGAATCCGCCATTTCCACCGCAGATGAATACACCAGCGGCGGAGCAATGACGGGGGAGCCCCCGCCTTTAGGGTAAGAGATGACCCCCGGCGTGACGGACACATTTTTCCCCATCTCCTTAGGGGTAAGGTACTCCGTGTCCGGTTTCCAGCTTCTTCCTAGCGTGTCGTTCTCTGGTCCGATGATCGGCCCGCCCACGTTGAGGCGGTATACGGTCTCAAAAGCATTGCCTGATGATAGCGCATACGAAGGAAAAAGACTAAATTAGGCATAAAATATGAAGAAAGTATCAAAAGGGGAGTTTTATATTTTTATCTCCAAAATAAAAATTACAATGTCAATAATGTTAACATATAATATCAAAAAACACGATGAAAAAACGAAATATCAATATATAGTGCCAAATTGCAACATGACAGTACTATTTTATTCGGGTTAAAAATATGAAACTTCTATTATATTATTTTTCTATGTTTTACTCATAATAGGGTAGAATTCTTATCATAATACTAAGGTGCTACTACCTGATAACCCGAATTGTTGGGAGACGGGAAAAAGGAGTGAGGCGGAATCGCTGATCAAGGCTTCCGGGGCAGATACAAATTCAATGGCATTGACGAAGGCCATTTTCCCTGCTGGCTTGAAAGTCAACGGGAACCGCTCGGTCGTGACGTTGACCAAGAACTCCTTCATGCACGGGGCGGTGGTGTTGACCGCCTCGAATTCCCGAAGGAGGACAGAAGTCTCGGTCACGACCGAGAATCTGGCGGTCTTCAGGTCGTGGCCGGGGGCGCTCAACGGGTAGAAGTGGAGACGTATCCAATGCAAGCCCGGGGAGGTGACGTGGAACGTGTACGTGGCATCGCTCACGAACACATTGGCGTTGAGGTAGATGGCGGGGATATTGCCGCCTCCATCGCCGGAAACCTGAATCTCGTCCCCGCTGTAGGCCAAGTACTTGTTGGTGTTCTGGTCTGGCTGGAAGATCCTGCCGCCGGGAAGGGTTGTGGGGGAGGTGGAGCCGCAGTCGAGGAGGTAGTTATCGTGGGGGACGAAGGGCTGAAAAGCCCGAGCGGGGAGAACGGTGGAGGAGTCTTGTGCACGAACGCATCGGGTCGGGTCAGAAACAAAGACGAAAAGAAGAGAAAGGAAGAGGGGGGCGGTGGTCGCCATGACGGAGGGTGGCGGTCGTCGTCGTCTTCCCCCTCTGTGCTTCTTCTTTTCCATCTCCTGCCCTCCCGGTGAGAAGAAGAGGAGGAAGAGAGAATCACAGAATTATTTTATGTGGGGGATTTGATCGATCAAAGGGAAAATTACCATTCCTATATTTACAACCAAGCCAAGCCTCTTTGTTAATTATTTACGATAGTTGATTTATCTGTTTATTTTTTTTGTATGTCTTTCCTGTGTTTTGCCTTTTTTGATGGATGAAATGGAAGAATGATTTTGATGCTGTAGTTCGTTTGGGGTTTCCCGCTATTATCGTTATTTTTCATCTTAACATAGCATTTGTACATTCACATCTCGATCTAGCATTAGAGATTAAATTTGGTAACATGTAAAATAAAATAAAAATAATACCCGGTAATATTTGGTTTTTAATAAATGTGGAATATCATTTTTGCATTGGGACGATAATGATTGACCAAGAGTTCGTGCTTTCAATCTCAAGTGAGATGAATTGAACTGAACTTAACTAAGTTTAAATGAATTGGTAGTAATTTTGACCGAAGAAGGCCACTACCAATACATCTTAAATTTATAGGAGTACAATAAATAACGCGTGGACCTCCTCGCATAAACAAAGACATGGAATATCAAGAAAATAACATTCGAGTTTGATTCCTTATAACTGCGCTAAAAGGCTAACGGAGGGTAATCCCATGTCACGCTGGTAGTAGGCCCCAGGACCGGACCCCACTGCCCAAGTAAGCTCAAACGGCCCCACATGTTTGGCTCGGTCATGGGGCTCGGTCCGGTGGACTCGGCCCGAGCCAGCGAGCTCCTAGGGGTGGGCAATCGGGTCCAGGAACCAGGAGTCGGAACCGGACCGCTAGATTCGGTCCGGATTAGGGTCGGGTCCTCTTTTCAAAAATTTCAAACGGTCTGGGTCGGTCCGATTCTTACAATTTTTAGGGCCGGTTCGGTTCCTCATTTTGAAATTGTATTGGACCCGGACCGGACCGTTTTTTAAATCCCAATATTATTTTTAAGATTATTTTTAGTAAATACTCCCTCTGTCCCATAAAGATGGGTACGTTTTGACTAAAGTAGAAATTAAGGGAGAGATAATTTTGTGTTGACTTTCCAAAAATATCCTTGATGTGATGAGTAAAAGTATGATGTGATGTGTAAATTATTAGGAAAAAGGTATGATGTGATAGGTAAGGTTTGAAAAAGTAAGAGGTAAAAGTGGTTTTTTAATAGAAATGGGTAAGGGATTGTGGGACGCAATTTTTTTGAAACGTGTAAATTTTTTTGGGACGGAGGGAGTATACAAATATGTGGAAGCCCTTCAATCTTTTGGTCCTTCCAGTCGCAGGCAGAAAAGTAAGAAAATCTTTCATAGTGAGAGAGTCGGAACCCATGAAGATTGTAACTTTTGTTCTTTTTAAAACCCATTGACATTATAATTACAAAATATGGTTGTCTTCTTTTTTATTATTGTTGTTGGATGATCATGGGGTGTACACTTTACTCTCATACCCCTCTTTGTCATTGTTTTATTTTCATTTATGCCTGTTTTTTATGTTGGATGACTTAAATTAATTTATTATCCCTTTATTTTTCTAATATTAGTATCATGATAGGTTCGGACCCCTTGACCCGTGGAATCGGCCCGTTTCAAACAAGTCGGGTTAGGTTTGGTTTCAATTTTAAAATTTTGAAAACCCGTTCGTGCCCGGACTGTTTTAAAAAAACAAGTCGAGTCCGGTTTATACAAATCTTGGCTCGGACCAGCCCGTGCCCACCCCTAGCGAGCTTAGCTCGGTCGTACCGAGCTTAGCAGCTCCGCTCGGTCCAGGGAGGATCTATGCTCGAGTCCACCCCACCACGTGAAAGCACCAAAAGAGGATTGAAAGTCCCACATACCTCCAATTGCTAAAGACACAGTCTAGACGACAGGCCTGGGGAATCTCACAGGAAGTCGGGTAACACGAGAGACTAGGACAAGAACTAGACGACAAACGAGTATCAATCATGGTTATTACCGTTGTAGTAGTAAGGAGGCTATAAATAGCCTTAGGCCATGACATTATAACGGATCCGAAATCAAGCAAATATACTCCTACTTTGTACTACCTTTTATCTCTCTTTATTCTCTTGCTTACTCGACTCATTCGACTCCGCGGTCGAACTACTTGGTGATTTATTACTATCAAAAGTAATTATACTAAATATAGGATCTCTGCAAGTACCAGGTGCAAGTTTTATTCTTTGCCACTAATCTGCTATCAAAGTCCAATTAACCTCCACTCAGTGACTGTCTGGCCGGTTCCTCGGGGATGGGGCTCATCCTTTATTAGAGCAATAAAAAATAAATTATGATAACAAGAAACAGACAACTTATTTTGGGATAGAGAAGAAAGGAAAACAGGTAATTTAAAATGTGACAGAGGGAGTATATATCACAAAATGCTTTTTTTAAGTCGCAAAAATACTTATATACTCGTAAATTTTTAAGTGTATCATATGTCACCTAAGAAATTAACTAAAAAGTACCACCTCCATCCTTAAATATTTGTCCAGTTTTGACATTTTTCAGTTAGTCGTTTTTAACCTTTGACTTTTGATTAAATAAAATATATATTGTATATTAATTAGATAGAATAATATTTTGAAAATATTTGATATAAAAGAGTCTTTTACAAAAAGAAATTTTCAAAACGCCTAAAAAAGTCCTTAGAATTGGGATGTCCAAAAAGGATTTATTTTTATTTTTTGTTTTATTTTATTACTCATCTTTTGATGTTCATAAAAAAGTTTTTATTTTTTTATTTCAGAAAAAAAATATTAATTTGAGACGTACGTGTGCAGTATTAGTATTCGTGCCTTATAACAATATGAAAATAACAAGAAGAGAGTAATGGATTTGTAAACAAATGTATTGCACACAAAGTATGAACTCAAACAGGAGGCCCTTTCTCTATTCGGTCGACCTTGGGATAGGAATATGTTAAAGGACCGCCAAAATATTCTTTTATTACTCAATTAAAGTCTTTTCCCTCTCTATTACAAGTTATCCTTCCTATCTAAATTCTTTCTCCTTTTATAGGAGCTCCTCCAGCCACCATCTCATCAATATATTCGCGGTAGTTGGGAAAATATCCGAGCAATCGTCCTCTTTCCCAAAAATATATTTCTCAATTTAATGTCATCCACTTAAGGGCAAATCTGTTCGTCCGTCCATTATTCATGGCCTCCTCTGTCCATCTGTCCGCTCTCTCAAGGGGACGGCTTACCCTAATTTAATTGTGGGGTTCTCTTCCTCTGAGTGACCCGTTCTTAATGGGCTGAGATCTAGCCATATCTTAGCCCCCAACCTTATTTCTTTCCCTATCTTGACTCTTAGATAGTTCCTATTTGCCGAAGGGTAATCCCATGTCACGCTAGTAGCAGGCCCAAGGACCGGATCTTCCTTATAATGTAGAGATCCTAAATTGGGCCAAGGCCCAATTCACTTATAATATCTTGATGGGCTTAGTTCCCATCAAGTAATTTTAAACTTTAAGAACATTATAAAAATAATTTTTAAAAAAAATTAAATAACCCTTGATTAATAAAAGAAACAAAAAAATATATGATAAATAAGAAATAAGCACTAGTGCCCCTACGGTTTGGAAAATAAGTACCAACGTCCCCTTCTTTGTCGGAAAAATAGCTAGAAAATGATTATGGGGGTATGTGTGCAACCTTTTGAAATCAAAGGGGCCTTAGAAATATGTTTTAAAAACAGAGGGACTATTAGTGCATATTTTTTAAACCATAAGGGGTATTGGTACTATTTGGTCTAGACAAATACTCTCTATCATTTGTGTCACATACGAATCATTTGTAAAATGCCAAAAAAAGTGATGTAAACTTATTTCAAAGATATTGTAAATTACAACCTACAATGCCAAATTACAAGTGTTCCATAATGACAAGACTCCTATTTATGGAAAAAAACATGAAAATTTTTATTATGTTCTATGTCCTAGATAGGCTCATACGTTCTAAATATCAATATTTTTGGTCAAGCAAGTCACATTTGCAACTTGGAGTTAATTGCACTAATACCCCAATACCCTTGTGTTTTGGTAACATTTTCATGTTTTCTTCCTTAATTTTTTGAACCTATTGGGCCAAAAATGTAAAGTAAAAGCATTTTGGACCGATGCCGAGCATATTCCTTTCATGAATATTTTTAATTTTTTGTTTTTTCTTTTGATTTTTTTAAACCTAATTTTATAACATTCCTTTTATTTTAAACAAAATTAAAATAAAAGGAAAAATAATTATTAAAACAAAGAATTTATATTAAAACAAACAATTTTTATTTTTAAAACATTTAAAAAAATATAGTTTTTGAAAAATATCTTATACACATTTATGAAAAAAGAGAAGATCGAAAAAAACACAAACAATAAAGAAAAAATGAGATGAGGAGTTGCTGTCCATTTCTAAAATAATAAAGACAGCATAGCTATTCACTTGAGATCTGAAGGGGTATTTTAGTGCAGAGAAACATTAGCCACAATGACATAAGTTTTAAAACCAAGAGCAGTAACAGTACACATTTATCAAACCATAAAGGGTATTGATGGAATAGTTTCTTCCAACTTTACCAAATGTGACATACCTTTTCATTTTCTTAGGCACCAAGACGACTCATTCAGAGTGAAACTCCATTTGAAAACCACTTTTGTAATTAGCATTAAAAATTGGATAAGGGGAGCAATAAACGTATAGAAATGTTAAAACTAAAGCAGATGCGATGTAGAAATGGGTATTCCAATACGCCATGCATTTGCTAATTGGCACTTTGGCATCAAATTACAATAATTCATGCACACTTGAAATGTAACAAAAAAAAGAAGATATATATGACTAAGCATCAGAATTCCCATTTTCCATTTGTGTTCCTTGTAATGATTGGAACCTTCAACCTCTAATGGTTCCCATTCTTTACATTGTAGTTGCAGAGCCTTACCTAAACCTGACAGCAAAATAATTTAAACAGCCCCTCCCCCAAAGAAAGGTCTTTTCAATTTCGACTCCTTTTCAACCCCTGCAACGGCCCATGCCGCCAAGGCCAGCAACAGAAGATCTCCCATGTCTGCAGATTAAAAAATGAAGTCAAACAAACCATTGGAGAAATAGTACCCACTGCAATAAATGAAGATAAATGACACTTCAAGTAAAAAGAATAGAGTCAATTCCTAATTTGTTCACTGGCTAAGCTAGTACCATATTTGGTCATCAAACTTCTATTGGTTGTAGACCCATTGGGTCCTTTAGAAATGTAATTTAGACCCAATTTGGTCATCAAATGTTTTGTGCATAGTTTGTTCGAATTTTAGGATTGAGATTTTTGTATGCCAACCAAATATGCATGACACCTAAATTGGACACAAAATTCATAGTCAATGACTAGAATGTATCCAATAAAGAGTTGATGACAAGATTGAGTAATAGTGTATAATCCAGGGAAAAGAGAACCGCATGAATACCACGGTGTTGCTTAACTATTGTTGTGCCCATGAAAAAGCTTTCTCCTTGCTAGATCGTGTCCAGAAAAAGCCCCTTTTCTGAGCACAATCATTCTCAGACACTGCTCTTGTTGTCCCCTTTGATCCACTGAATGAAAAATGGCGTCTCAAAGATGGCTTTCCCACAGAAAGCTTCTTCAGACTGGAGGAACTAGAGCTGATCTTTGGACACCTCGCGACATCTCCCACTGCTGCAAGGTTTCCATTAAAATCACTGTCGACAACTTGATTCCTACATCTCTTTCTAGCTTTTGAATTCATCTCAGCTTTCAAACCCTTCTCACACATCTTAGACACGTGTTTCTCCCCAAGAGTGCAGACAGGGCATGCCGGGTCATACTTGTTGATCTCCAGAGTCATATTCTCCAAGCACTCAGCATGGAAAACATGCTCGCATGTCAGTACAGAAACAACAGAAATTCCATTAGGCGTTGTTTTCTGACCGCCCCAAAACGATTTATCTGTCAGCAGCTTTGCACAAACGCCACACGCTCTGAGATCTAAAGAGGGAGAACTGGATGTTCTTCCACAAAGGAAACTAAAGCCTTCACTATCAAAAGACCACCTTTCCCTGTGGGGAGTTGGTAGGAATTCGTGAAAGGCAGGAATAGACCAACCATCTGATGATCCACCATGAGAGCCCTGAATTGATTCGTTGCCCCAACCAGGGAGAATGAACGAACTCGAGGGAGTCAGGTTCACAGGGAGCTGCTGACTTTCATCATATGATAAAGCTGAAGCCGATAGTGCAGGAGAAGGATATGTTACTGCAGGCAATCTTGCTGGTTCTATTATCTACATTCAGATCAAAGAAAGGAGATGTGTGTATACTTTGTAAACAGAAATTTCTCAAGCCAAAAAAAATGAAACTACATGAACCATCCAAAGCACGTTCGAGAGAAGTTACAGTCATACCTCTGCGGAGTTTGAGGCCACCAAGGGATCTGTAAACATAAGGATGAAGGGGTTATATACGAAATACAACAGATAAGAGTGAAAGTTATTGCAATTAGATAACCACTTGCATACCGTATTGTATAAAAAACTAAAGAACCAGAAAGATACATCAATTTGATTTTGGTTCACTCGTCATATAAGAAATGATATTTCCTAGAATGCAATGACAGAACCACACCAAATAGAAGAGTTACTCTCATACAGTTCAAATGCCCATAAAACATTGTTGGCCTGTAGTAATGTTTAGGGGGTGTTAAGCTGGGGGTTTCGAGAATGGAAATGGAAAAACAATCCTTGCTTTTAGCAGAAGATAAAGGTCCTTCCAAGTTACAGCACAAATCAGAAAAAAAAGGCAGGAATAGCTTTTCAGGTGGCGGAGTTGATATAAGTCGAGATTTGGAAAGGCTATGTGACATCCTTTTTTCACCATTACACCATCGCCCATCTTCCTATTTTGTCATAATCCTTTATTACAATTTATCTTCCTCTCTACCCTCACGCACTTCCAATTTCATCCTCACCCATCTTTATCCTTTCGACATGCCTACCGAATCACCACATGCCCATCTATATGCCATGTTATATGACATGCTTTTTTCACCATTGCACCATCGCCTATCTTCCTATTTTTTCATAATCATTTATTATAATTTATCTTCCTCCCTAATCTCACCCACTTCCAATTTCATCCTCGCCCATCTTTATCCTTTCCAAATGCCTATCTTCCGAATCACCACAGCAGAATAATTGTTAAGAATTGTAAATCTGGTTTTGCAGGAAACGTAAAGCAGTTAAATGGGGTAAAGTTTATGTCCATTACCAAAGGAGTTAAAAGAGTCATTTTTCCGTTTTTACCATGTTTTAACCCTGGATAAATGATGGACTAAATCAATATTGACGACCTAGACCCCAATGAAGAAGTGGGATTTATCCTGGGTTTTTTGTTGTTGCACATACTGTTGTTGTACATCTATTGGACTGCTATTTTTTCTGTATAAATGATATTCTTTTTTTCTTCAAGAATCTGTGTTGATGATGTGTTGATACTCCTTTGATAGTTTGATCACCATCTTTTCACAATGATTTCCATCCAAGGGTTTACATATTCAAACATCAAATTTGGTAATAAATGTAGATACAAATATTTGATCACTACATATAGTTGTTATTTTTACTTCTACAAAAACTCGTGTTACTGTTCCATAGGTCAATATATTTTTCCTTTATTCAGATAAAAGGGTTACACATGTAAACAATTTCAGCAATAATTGTTACTCAGTTTGATACCAAAAAGAAACGTTACAGTTGCTATAAACCACATGTCCACATTCCATCCCTTAATTTGTTTATTTCAATTTCGATGCCGGGCTTAGACCAAAACCTCCCTTTTACTCCCACAATTTAGGACAAACATTCTTTATGTTGACTTATAACACTAGTAAAGATATGTTTCGTCACATCCACCATGTGACAATCATGACCAGTAACAATAAAAAAACAGATGGCCCTGCATGAGTTAGATAGGTGTACTAGTGTACTCCCATTATCGCATAAAAAGGTTCCACATTTCCTATTTGTTTGTCCCATAAAAGGTTCCTCTTTAGAAGAAGAAGTTTTAGTGGTTCACAGGATTTTTCTCCTTTCACAAAGCTACACAATCTGCCCATTATTAATAACCGTGTCCAATCAATTTTGTACACTTATTTTGGGACAAAGGAAGTAATTTCTAACACTGTAGCACAAATCTTCCATTCTCCTTGGGATCTATGTGGCTAAGCTTCAAACAATTACGGAGTATGTTTTAAGCTAACATTCACTCAACAAGAAAGTGATTATATCCTCTCATTATCATTTACACTTCATAGCTTCCACAATGCAACATATTACCAATCTTTTTTCTGTTGTCCACTAGAAACAAGTCAAAAAGAATTTCCTTTTGTCAAAGTACCAACTTTCATATACTATATACATTCATGTGGAATCAACTCAAGGAAATTCTACTGCTAGTTGAGGATAGCATAAAAATACCTAATATTAACAATAGGAATTGCACTTAGCAAGTAAAATTACAGCCTTCAATATTCTGATTAATTTCTAAAGCTGTTAGTTTTTTGGTAAATATTTTTTTATTAATAACTCTGCACACAATGTTACCAACATATCCTCCAAGGAGAAATAAAGGGAGAACCATAGAGTATCACCTGAAGAAGGCTGTGATAAAATTTCACCATTTCTTTCGGAGGTTGGTGACTTCTGCCATGCATGTGATCGGAAGCTCTCGAATGGACTTCCCTCTTCAGAGGCATATACTGTTTCTATAGTTGTCCTAGACTTAAAATCTGATCTATCATTACCACTAACTCCATCAGAAGACCAATTCAGTTTAGTTTCTTCCCCTACTACTCGCCCTCGATTATCCCACCGAAAACTCCACGATGGTGAACACCTGACAGTCCTGTGTAAATTTTCAGTTGCTGATTGGTTTGATGGTGTTCCATCCTTTGCAGCTATACAACAAGCAGATCCCATGTTCACATACAAGAAGTACAATCAGTTGCGGGCAAGCTGTTGGCGAATGTACATTCCACAACACAAACAAAAGGCCACCTGAAATAATAATAATAATAAATGAATTAAAAAATCAATCGTACATAAAAGGTAGGGAGTAGGGTACATAAGTGATACCACATCACATGAAAAACTCTACATAACAACCCGCCCTTATCCATAGTTGACGGGATTCATCAAAATTGCCCTGCTTTAGTAGTCATGGCTCTAGGCGGGGCGGGGGGGGGG